TAATAAGTAAAATAAGGTTATAAATACTTATATATTTACTAGTAAAGTAAAGCTATAAGGAATAAGGCTATATAATAGCCTAAGGTAAAAAGAGAAAGGTTTATATTTAAAGAAGATAAGGTTACCTTTATATACTAGCTTTTTTATAGTTATATTTTTTTAGGTATTCTAAAGTAAAAAGTATAGTTATATCTTTAATATTATACCTTTACTTTCTTAATTAGACCTTTAAGGTAATATTAACATAAAATCTAGAAATAAAGGCTATATTTTTTAGCCTAAGATCCTCTATACTTAGCCCTCTTATACTATTAAAGAGGTTCTTTATAATATATATACTATATCCTTTTATAAATAAGATATTATACTTAATTTAATATAATAATTATTTATATTTATTTTATAAAAGCTAAGCTTAAGAAGTAACTTATTATTTATAATATAAAGGCCTCTATAGTTATTAAAATAGTACTTTTACTAAAGTATATAAGCTAATAAGTAAAGTTAAGAATATACTAAAAGTTAAAAGAAGTACTACTAAGGTTTTACTAAATAAGCAAGAGTTAATAGTAACTATAATAAGGGTACTTTATAAGTAAAAGAAGGTTAAATCCTTTTTTTTTACTTTTTTTATACTTTACCTCTAAGGTTTAACTATTTTAGCTTTAAGAGCTTTATAATAATAGCCTTTACTACTTACTTACTTAACTTTACTTAAATAATTCTTAACTTACTAAAAGTATATACTTAATATACTTATAGTTAATAGGTTTTAATAAGTAGTTAGGTCTCTTATAAAAGTACTTAAAGTACTACTTTTTATCTTATAGTTTACTTTTTTTTATAAAGGTTATATATACTTTTATTACCTTATAGAATTTTATAAGTATTATTTATAGTAAATTACTTAGTAACTTATTATATTTTCTTAAGGTTATTTACTATCCTTTATATTATTTAGTCTTTGTAAGGTTATTTAGCTTACTATTTACCTAGGAGAAAGTAATTTACTACTTAATAGTATATAAGAAAGTCTTAATTAAGAAAGTACCTTAGATCTTAAGAATACTATATACTTTAGCCTTTATTAAGGTAGTATACTATTCTTAAAGCTAAGTAAATATATTATTTATTAATAAAGTATATATAAGAGTCTTATTATAATTATTATAGACTATATTACTTACTATATTATAAAAAAAAGTATATTATTATTTAATTTTTAAAATAGTTATATAAAAAGTAAAGTTAATATTATTATTTAGTAATTATAGCTATATACTTTTTATAATCTTTTTTATAACTATAATATTAACCTAGCTTAATAATAAGTTATTTACCTTTTACTATTTTATATTCTTAGCTTAGTAAAAAATAAATTACTTATAGTAATAATCTATTTTTATTTTATTACTTTATTATTAAAAGTTAGTAGTACTAACTAAATAAGCTTTTAGCTTTACTACTTTACTTACTAGCTAACTAAGAGTTTATTTTAGCTTATAAAGTTAACTTTATATTACCTTTAGTACTTAGTGTTTTACTTTATAATATATTTGGCTAGTATAGGTACTCTAAGGTACTCTAGGAGCTTCTTTTTACTGTCTAGATTAATAAATTACTAGACTTTACGTTAGGTAATAAAGAAGTAAAGCTTTATATACTATAAGAACTAGTCTTTATATATAGTTAAAAGGCTATAAAAGTAAGTGTTAGTTAGTAGGCTTACTATTACTTCTAAAGGCATTATAAGTATAAGATAAAGTTAAAAAAAGTATTAGTTTTAAGAAAAGTATTTTTAAGTATATACTACTTTATAATAATAAAGGTTATTATTACTTATAAATTAAGTTAAAGCTAGGCTTATAACTATTATTAAGTAGTATGTTTTAAGGGTAATTTATATAGTTAAGAGTAGCTTATTTCTTTTATTTATAGTACTATAATCCTTGTTCTTTAAATATTGCCTTGCTTAGTAGATTTTACTATAAGTATTTATATTTAGGAGTAAGGGTTTAATTAATAAGTAATATTGTTCTAGAAAGCAGTGTTAGTTAGTAATATCCTATATAATAGCTTACTAGTCTATTAATTACTTAGTAATTAATTAGGTAGTTAATAGTTATAAAGGTAGCTTATATAGCTTTTATTAATTAAATTACTAAGGTTAAATACTAAAAAGTATTTAAATAAATTATATTATAAGAAGTTAATTACTAAAGAGCTATAAAAGTTTATTCTTAAGTATATTTAAGTTTATTTTATATATAAGTCCTAATTCTTCTAGATAACTAATAATTATAAGTAATTACTATCCTTATATAAGGTAAACACTTAGTAAATACTAGTAAGCACTTACTTTAATAATTACTAGTAATTACTTTATCTTTATAATTACTTTTTTATCTTTATATAACTTACACTATAGACTATAAAGGTAGTATATATAAGGTATATAAAGTATATTTTATACTTTACTATACTTATAGTACTAGTAGCTTTTCTTTTTAGTAGTAGGCTTTTATATAAAGTTAATAATAAATAAAAGTAGTAAATAAGTAATATAAATTATACTTTTATACTACCCTTAAAAGTAGTAAGGCTAGTCTTTAAGAGGCCCTTAGAAAGACCTTTAGGTAGACCCTTAAGGAGACCTTTAGAAAACACTATCTAAGAAAGAAAATATTAGTACTTAAGTAATAAATAAATAAAAAAGATAAGTATATAGTAATAGTTAAATAAAAGTAAAAGTAAATAAGTATTTAAAATTTCTATATAAATATTAGTATAAGATTATAAAATAAGTATAAAAAGTACTATAAGTATATAGTACTACTAAAAAAATAAAGTAAAACAAAGTATAAAATATACTTTTACTTAAATATAATAATAATAAGTTAATAAGGCTAGTAAGTATAGTAATAGTATAAAAAAGGTAATAGAATTATAGTAAAAAAAACAAGATCTATATAGTTAATTTAAGTTAAAAAAAACAAAAAAGAAAAAAAGAAAAATAGCTATAAAAAGTTATTTATATAGACCTAAGGAGGCCTAATTTAAAAAGAAAGTATATCTAAAATAAAACATTAAAAGAAAAAAAAGCCTTTTATACTTACCTAGGTTTAAATAAGAAACTAAAAGAAAAAAGAAAGCCTTTTATATTTACCTAGGTTTATATAATAGTAATAATATATAAGACTAAGTAAAAAAGTTACAGTAATAATATAAGAAAGAAAACTATATAAAAGAAATATCTAGTAATATAGTAGTATATAAGAGGCTATAGAAGCTAGTAGTATAGTAAAAAAGTAAAGAAAGTAGTACTAAAGCTAGCTAAATATAAAATAGCTTCTAAGATAAAAGCCTAAAAGAAAAAGGCACTATATTAAAGATAAATAAGTATAATAAAGAAATAAGGCTAAGTATAAGCTAAGTATTATATAACACTAAATAAGTAAGGTAAATAATATAAGTATATAAAGTATATAAGATAATTATAGAGTTAGAGGGTATATAGAAGTAAAGTAAGTATATATATACTAAGAATACTTAGAGAAAAAAGAGTAAAGAAAAGAAGAAAGTAACTTTTAGCTTTAGTAATACTATATACCTACCTTTGCCTTTATAGTATATTCACTTATTACCTTAGTTACTTATTAATATTAATAATAACTTTCTTAAGAATTACCTTTTCTTTTACTTTTATTATCTTTTTTTATTTTAGGTATATTATGTCTTATATAATATATCCTATACGTTAGTAATAGAGTGTTATATAAGGGACCTTAAAGACAATAGCTACTTTTTATATAGACATTTTTAGGTTTTTTTAATAGCTTAGAGGGTAAAAATAATATAGTTTTAATTAAACAGGATTATATATTTATAAATAAAGAAATATTAGTATAAAGGTTAAAGAGGTAAAAAGAAAAGAAACTAGTCTACTTACTATAATTATTTACTTACTATATATATACATTAACCTTATAAGGCGCTCTATTATTAGCTTATTAGTAATATTCTTATATTTAGGTAATATAGTTAGAAGTTATTTAACCTTAGCTTTTACTACTATAATATACTACTATATAAGAAAAAAATATATAAAATATTCAAAAGTAAGTAATAAATAAATAAGCTATAAATAAATAATATTTAGTATAAGTACTAAAGTAATAAACTATATTACTTATACTAAGTAAGTATATTAAATATAGAAAAAGTATATAAAGAATGACTAGTAAATATATAGTTTTTCTTTAGTAAATAGTTAGGAAATAGGCAGTAAATTTACCTTGTATTAATGGTAATTTACTAATTAAATAGCTAGGATTAGTCTAGAATTTTCTAACCTAGAAAAAATAGGATTTCCTTACTTTAGTAGATTTTACTATAGTTATATATAATATAATATTATAACTAATGGATTAACTATTATAATATTTATAATTTAATAAGAATATTACCCTAGAGAGTATACTTCTATCTAGATTAATAGAGGATAATATACTTCTAGAGGTATAACTACGTAGCTATGTATTAACTTAGTAAAATATATATATCCTTGTTATCTTTTAAGTTATAGGCATTAGTATTTTTACTACCCTAGGCGTAATCCTTTGTTCTATTAGGATTCCTAGGCTATTACTTGTCCTTTAGGTTATAGGTACTATTATTACTGCTTATAGGTTTATAGTCTTACTTAAGTTTAACTTAACGCTTCTGTAATCTAGAGGCAATGAAGTCTATTTAGAGTTTACTTATTGCTAACTATAATTTCTAGTATTAATACTTATCGCTGTCTAGGTTGTTCTAATAGGATTTACAGTAAGTAACTGTGTTATTTTTAGTAAGTACTTGCTGTTTACACTTGGCGGCAAGAATCTGACTGAGCTCCTATTCTAGACAGGCTAACTACTATATATTCTCTATAATACACACTGTCTCTTGTTATAGAATATCTCGAGAACAAGGATAATGTTAAAAAGACAAAATGAAATTGAGCTGAGATTCTAACTTCTATTCTAAAAATCTATTTAAGAATATAAATACACCCTATACCTCATAGACAGAAAAGCCTTCAAGTTTGTTCTCCGTCCGCATTTTGTATTCTTCTACAATACGTTGGTAGTCATCAGGGCCTGTCCCCCAGGCAGACTTTCGGCTTGCAATCAGAGCCTGCTCAGGTGTCTGTGGCTCCAGAGTCGCTCGTCCCTCGGCAGTAAAGTAGGAAGGTGTACAGATGGACAGAGCTGAGTACCACCCTGCGCGCTTCACGACTTCCTCCATCCACTTGTCTTCGGCATCTTTAGAGGCCTCAATAACTAGACGTTCGGGCTTAGATGACTTCTGTGTAGCCTGTGCAATGATATGTGCAATTAGGCGCGCATTCTCGTCCAATAGAGAGGTGAAGTTAAACGAGGTTGAATTTCCAGCATTGAAAAAGGCAAAAAGATTAGGAAAACCGTTGACAGCAACACCAAAAAGGGTTCCGAAATCGAGGGATTCCCACTTGTCGTTCAGATGGCGTCCGTTACGTCCAGTTATGGGGGCATTCATCCTGTCCTCGGGCCCCTGATGAGTCGAGAGGTGGAATCCAGTAGCGAGAACAAGTACATCGATGTCCAGCTCTTGGCCCCCAATCACAAGGCCGCGCTCCGTATATCGATCAATGCCCTTGCCGTTCGTGTCCACGAGTGTGACGTTACTCCGGTTAAAGGTCTCGAGGTAGTCGTCATTGAAGGTGGGTCTTTTACACCACCCAGGATACCAGGGTTTAAGTTTCTCGGCAGTTGCTACGTCTCGAACCTCCCGATCGATGCGAGCCCGCAGTTCGTCGGCAATGGGCGTGTCCATCTTCAAGAGTGCATTGATGTGCTCTCCTGTTGCTGCTGGGTCCACTATCCTTGAGTTGCTCCCGAGCACGCCGGAACGAGCTTGGTTTCTCGTCCAGCCATCATTAACGAGGTCAATGGGCTGCGGGTTCGCAGTCAAGAAACTGTCCAAATTGGCCATCCTCCGTCGCTGCCAACCTGGGCCTGTGGCCACTTTGGCCCAAGACTCCGGCGTTGTGTCCTGTTGCCGTCGCTCGCCGCAGTATGAGGGCGTTCTCTGGATCACGTAGAGATGCTTGGCCCACTTGGCAAGATGCGGCACAGCCTGGACTGAGGTGGCCCCGGTTCCGATGATGGCCACACGCTTATCTTTCAGGTTGGTAAGGTCCGGGTGCTCTTGGCTGCCACCAGTAATGTTGTAGTTCCATCGGGAGGTGTGAAAAAGCTGGTTGCGAGCGCTGAAGTCGGCAAAGCCTGGAGCTTTTGGGACTTTAGGGACAGCAAGTATACCTCCACAGGTGAAAAGAAACTGGGCCTGTACCGTCATAGTTCTTGGGGGCCGAACTTTCCCAAAGGATTGGGTTAGGTCTACAATCCATCGCCCGTTTGTCTCGTCCCAGACTTGTTTATCAACTTTGGTGGAGAACATGGCTTGAAGGCGATATTGGGCTGCAATCCGCTCTGACTGGCCTCTAATCTCGTCGCCAAAAGAGTATTTGTGCTTTGGGATATAGCCTGTCTCCTCGAGTAAGGGTAGATAGCAGTACCCTTCGATATCGCACATAAGGCCCGGGTACCGGTTCCAGTACCAGGTGCCTCCATATCCGCCAGCAATATCCACAAGCACTATGTCTTTGGGATCAAAGCCAGCATCAATCAGACGGGCCGCAAACAGGAGGCCATTGTGGCCTGCACCAATGACAAGGAATTTCGTAGCACCACCATCTTCCAGAGGTGGATGCTGAGATGCAAGCGCGTTGTAATCCACCCATGGATCGGCAGCTAGATCTCCAAGGCTGGTGTCTTCGAGGTTGATGTACTGGGCAGTTCCATCGGCGCGAATTCGTTTGTTCCGCTCCTGGGCATATTTTTCGACTGTGACAGCGGCCATTGTGTGACTTGAAGAGAAATTCTTAGAGGATGTGTTGTGAAATCTTGCTCGTTGTTTAACAAAAGTGATGGCTGAATCTGCCCAGTATCGGCGAAGGATCCAAGGTATTTATGGAAAAAGTCGGCACCTATTGATATGGAGCCTTTATGGAGCTTTTGTTGCACAGTATAGGTCGACCTTGCTTGCCATAAACCAATTCTATCAAGTGCTACGTGACCCCATTTCTGCAAAGAGCTGGGTAAGGCCAATAAGATCAAGGCATTGAATCCGATCATCCGGTAGTAAAGCAGTAATTCACTTCATATGGCGGTCTGCCTATGCTATAGTTACTAGCTATGTCACGGCTGGCTCACGGGGTATTGTAACAGGAAGGGGGGGCGGGTTCGGGGGGTGATGTGGCCGAAATGCCTCACACCCTGGCAGTGGGCCGCATGTTAGCTTCATAATCAATCAGCTTTAGCTTGAAACTGTTAGACTACCTACTGTTATGGCCTTGTTGAGCTTGACTCTGCTTTGATGAGCGACTGCGAAGTATGAAGCCAAAGGGTAAAGAACGCAGAAACTTCAGCGCCGGTTACTTCCAGTAAGCGTCGCTTCTTGCTTCTTCCTCTTAGTAGAACGTCTATACCAAGATAGGTACCCATGATTCCCTCCACCGTCTGCCTTGGATCCGAGCCTTGGTAATTTGGATCCCTGATTAGCTGCCCTCATTTTCTGAGATTCCGTTGCGTGGATTCCTAAGATTCCGTTCTGGGGTTTAATTAGATCCCGTTCCGGGGTTTGGCTAGATTCTGTTCCAGGTCATCCTTAGAGTCGGAGTCCGTGGCGGGGTCTCTTAGAGTCCGTGGCGGGGTCTCTTAGAGTCCGTGGCAGGGATTGACGGCGTCCGAAAACGCAGCTTATTTACCTACCCGGGGGCAACTTAGTCAGCGCTGTGAGCTAAATACCCCCTCCTCACGGAGGGGGAGAATAGTTCGTAGGGGGGTATTCCAGCTTCGGGGGGGGCTATCCGTTGTGGGGCCGAAAAGTTTAGGGGGGTAAAGTAGCTAGTGTTAGGGTTATCAGGCTTATTTAGGCTTAGCTTAGAGTGTAAGAAGTACAAAAGCTTAAGCATATACTAAGTATATACTAAGTATATACTTTAAAATATAGTACTTACCTTCTATAACTATAGAGGACTTAGACCTAAGTCTTTTAACTAAGTCCTCTATAGTTATAGAAGGTAAACACTATACTTATTAGTATATACTTAGTATATACTTAGTATATCTCTCTAAATATAGTAACTAGCCTCTATAACTATAGTAGACTTAGACCTAAGTCTTTTAACTAAGTCCTCTATATTTATAAAAGGTAGACACTATATTTATTAGTATATACTTAGTATATACTTAGTATATACTTAGTATGCTTTAGTTAGTTTTTTTTAATTTATATAGTGCTTAGGGCTTTACCCCCCCCTGAACTTTTTGGCCTTACAACAGATACCCCCCCCTAAAGCTATAATACCTCTCTACTAACTAGGCACCCTCACAGAGGGGGCAAAAAAATAGGGTTACTACTCTAAAAAAAGGGGTTACTAACCCTTATTACTAATAGCCTTACTTTTATATACATTATATAGTATACTTAACTTTTTATTTCTTAAAGTAATAACGCTAATACTATTATATAATAATAAAAGTAGTATTAATTAATAGCCTTTAATAAGGGCTTTATAATAGTACCTTTTTATTCTTTTTTATATAATAACTATAAACTTATATTACTACTATAATATAGGTATTACTTTTACTATTATTTACTATATATTACTAGTTGTTTTTTATTTATATTAATAATAGTATAAATAAATAATTTTATAGTATAATCTCTATAGCTTTCTAGTTATTTATCTTATCCTTTATAGTATAATATTATTATATATAGGCTATATATTTACTTTCTTAAAACCTTTTATAATTTAGGCAGTAGTAAAGATCTCTTTAACTATAGTATTAAAGGTAATAATAAAGTTATCTTTTATAAATATAAGGTTACCTTCCTATATATACTTATAAAGTACTATATATTAGGCCTTCTTAAAGTATTAAAAGACTTCTATATCTATTAGTTAAAGAAAGTACATTATACAAGGTAAAAAAAAGGCAAAAATAATATTAAAGTTAATATAATATTTTATAAGCTTTAGACTTATATAGCCTATAGGTTTATTAAGAAAAAAAGATAATATAGCTACTTTAACCTTTCTATAGTATTTTAATAGTTATAATACTTTATTTTTTAATTACTTAGTAAACTATTAAGTAAATATAAAATATAGATATTATAGCTATATATATTAATACTAAAATAGTTATTAAAGAAGTAGTATATATAGTAATACTTTATTAACCTTATATATAACTATATATAAAGTACTATATATAGTCTATTATAATCTTTTAGTTAAAGAAGCTAGTTAGTAAATATATAAGGTAAACACCTTTTTAGACTTAGTAATTTACTTAAGTAGTAACTAGCTATACCTTTAAGATAATATATACTAAGATAATATTACTATATATATTACTAGACTTAACTAAAGTATATATATTTTAATTAGCTAGATCTATAACTTTAGGTAAATAGTTATATTTTAGTAGTTACTTAAGGATAATTATATATAGCTAGCTACTAAGGTAGCTAATTTAGTACCTAGATTTATTAGTATTCTAGATCTTAGATAAGCTAATATTATACTTATAGAAGGTAGCCTATTACTAAATAACAAAGTCCTTTATTAAGGCGAAGTCTAACTTAGCCCTCTTTTAGTATAACTTAACTAGTTTAATAGTGTCTTTCTTTAGAGCTTTAGATAGTTAGTAAGCTAGCTTTAGATAAAGTGCTTAAAAAGTAGTAGTTAAACTTAGATACTATAGAGATAGTTAGTTATTTCTTTAACCTAGAGCAGTAGGGCTAAAAAGCTAGATTTATAAAGCTATATTATAAAGGCGCTAAAAGCTATATTTATAGCCTCTATAAGTAACTAGGGCTAGCTAGGCTTATTTAGGCTAATATAGAGATTATAGCTTTCTTAAAGGGCCTAGAGGTATTTCTAAACTCTTATATAAGATATACTATAATACTAGGTAGCCTATTATATAAAGAGTATATTATAACTATCTTATTACTTATTAGTTAGTGTATTAAAAATATATTTTTTATATTTTTATATTTTTAACTTAAATAATTAATAGTAAGATAAGCTATAGATATTTTTAAGAACTTTAACTTTTATAACTAAGAATTAGCTTATAAAAAGAGTCTACTAAGGCTAGTATAACTAGGCTATATTACTAATATATAGTGTATATATATATAGCTTTAGCTAAATCTAACTTATAAAATACCTATTTTTTACTATAAAGCCTTTATAATAATATATATACCTTTATATTTATAAAGTTTAATAGTAATAGGCTATTCTATAGAATAATAAACTTATAAAAAAGGTTTAAACTAGATAGTAGTAATATAGCTAATCTATTTTAGATTAGATTAAATATCTAGATAATAAAAAAAATAATTAAGAATATAAAAGAGTATCTAGACCTATAAATATAACTTTATATAGAAGCTATAGATATCTAATAAGAAAAGTTAGGTAGATAAGAGAAGAGATAAGGAAATTAGTAGATAAAAGGATATATATATATTTATTATTATTAGAAGAGTTAGAGAATAAAACTACTTCTAGTGGTTTTTTCTCTTCTATATATAATAAATAACAATTACTAGACCCTCCTATAACAGTATATATTACACCTATATTATATATATATTAACCCTTTATAATAGTTATAGTTATATAGTTATTAGTGTTTCTAAAACCTTGGCTTATTATAGATTTACTAGATCTAGTTTTAACTTGTTTTACCTAAGTTAGGTAACCTTGTTAAAAGTACCCTAGGCTATACCCTAGACTATATTGTATTATTGCCTTGACCTTGACCTTGTTAACCTTATTAATACATTAATACTCTTAGAGGCAAGGCACTTCTAAGAAAGTAACTTTTAATAGGTCTATAAAGGTCTAGTAAGTTATATAAAGAGTATATCTCTCTATAGGTAACTATAATACCTTTATATATATATACTTTTTATATTTTTATAGTTATAGTATAGTTAGGGTTAAGGTTCAGGTTAAGGTTATATCTTCTTATAAGCCTTATATCTAAGTTATCTTACTATTTTATACTAACTTATAAACCTCTTAGTTATTAAGAAACCTAGTTATACTAGAAAAGTATATAACTAAGTAAGTACTAAATACCCCCTAAAAAATCCCTCTTTAATAAAATAACTTAAATAAGGATATTATAATAAGTAAGGCCTTTACCTAGAATAAAAACATCTTACTAGATAATATATTACTAAAGTAAAGAAAAAGTATAGTAATATTATAGTAATTACTAAAAAGTAAAAGACTAAAAAATTATAGGCCTACTAGGCTTTTATACTAGCCTACTAGTAGATCTTACTAAGAAAAATAAACTACTAGTTTATTTTTAATAACACTTATACTTTATACCAGGCTAATTCTTAGCTAGTATAAATAACTACCTATATAGCCTAGACCTACCTAGGGTTTAACTTATATAGGCCTAAATAATATAAACCTTTTATTTATTTTATAAAGTATATTAATAACTTTTATTATTAAAGTAAATAATATATATATTACTTATAGCCTAAAGACTACTAATAGTATACTTTTTCTTTTAAAAGAACTACCTAGGTAAACTACTAAGTACTATTTACTCTCTTATATACTTAATACTATTAGACTTAATAATTAAGTAAAATTAAGCTTTATAAAGACTACTATCTTTAAGTTAACTAGTAATTAACTTTATATAGTAAGAATAAGTACTAGCCTTAATAATAGCTTTAACTATAGGCCTAATACTACTAATAAATATAAATAAGTTTATAGTAGCCTTCTTTTATACTATAGTAGCCTAGATATAGTAGGCTAAGACCTTATTAGGTCTTATAGTTAGCCTAGACTATATACTAGCCTAGATATACTTAATAATAATAATAAAGATATTTTAGCTAAATATAGACACTATATACTACTTACTTAACTTTATTTTTTATAACTACTATATAATATACTACTATATAATAAAGTTATAAATCTAAGTAGTTAAAGTAGTATATTTAAATAGACTATTACTATAGTATTTTAGTTAAATAGTTTAATAATCTCTTTATAGTTAAGTATATAACTAGTAAGAATTTTAACTTATAACTAGAGAATAATACTAGCTAAAGTAATAAAGGTAATTATATATTAC